ATAATAATAATTAAAAAAATAATAATAATAAAAATAACAAAAATAATAATAATGTGCTTTCCAGTTCCATCATAAAAGCAAGTTCACAAATACACTGATACGTGGCCTTTTAGATTTGTCATTAATTTATCATTATTTTCCTTCATCCACATTTCCATCCCCCAATTCTATAGATCTACACACTGGACTGCTACTTCCGCCAGAGATGGATGGACCACCGTTTGGCCATGAACGTGTCCTTGGAAAACCTGACCTTGGGCATCAAGATTCTGGAGCGGATCTGGCACCCGGACACGGTCTTCTACAACGGTCAGAAGAGTTACCTTCACGCCATTACGTCACACAACCGCTTCTTGAGGATCGCCGCGAACGGCACGGTTCTGTTCTCGCAACGGTCAGTTGGATGTTGGAGGGGTTCTTTTTTTCTTTTTTTCCGTGAGTGAGTGCAGGGAGGGGGGGGGGGTGTTGAGAATATGCAGGGTTTTTTTTTGGTTATTTGTTTCGTTTTGTTTTGGGGGGGTTTATTTGCTTGTTTTGCTTGTTTTGTTTGTTTTGTTTGTTTATTTGTTTGTTTGTTTGTTCAGGAAGCGGAGTTTGTTGCTATTGTTGTTGTTGCTGTTTTATTTCATATTTTTACTTTTTCTTTTCTTTTCTTTATTTTTCTTTTCTTTTCGCTTTTTGTATGTGTGTGTGTGTGGGAGGGGGGGGGTAGTTTGGTTTTATTTTGTTTTTGTTTTTGTTGTTTGTTTGTTGTTGTTGGTTGGGGGGTTGTTGGTTTTTTTTGGGGGGGGGGGACAAAACAAACAGGAACACGTTGTACATCTGTTTTTCCAGGTCCAGTAATCTGAAGAGACGACATGTCTGGCACATCTAGCCCGGGGGTGGGCATTCTGGAGACGATGGGATAAGTGTTTTACTGCTGGGTCCATAGACGCCGAAAAAGGGTTTTCTCTTTGGTGCTAAAAGCATTTCAATTAGGTGAACACGGTTTCATAGAAGTAAAGTTTGCATTGGGGATTGTTGGCCATCGTATACTTCTTGGATGGAGGAGTAACGTAAAGCGTCTAGAGACAAGAAGAAGATAGACAGCCTGAGACAAGAGTGGACCATTGACTTTTTAAGTTGCGAGAAAGAGAGCGAGCGACGTGCGCGCGCACGAGAGAGAGAGAGAGAGAGAGAGAGAGA